TAGTGCTAGTGCTAGTGCTAGTGCTAGTGCTAGTGCTAGTGCTATTGCTACTACTACCACTAGTAGTAGTAGTGGTAGTAGTAGTAGTAGTAGTAGTAGTAGTACTACTACTACTACTACTACTACTACTACTAGTACCACCCCTACTCCTACGCCTATTCCTACTCCTACTCCTGATCCTACTCCTACTCTTACTACTGTTGCTGCTGCTACTGCCTACCTACTTACCTACCTACCTACCTACCTCCTACCCTACCTACCTACCTACCTACGTACCTACCACTACTTCTGCTGCTGATGCTGCTTTTTCTGATACTGCTGTCTAGATCTGCTGCAGCTGCTCGTGATTGTCTTGCTCTTGTTACCACCGCGACCGACGACTCTGTCTGCGAGCACGACGAGATCCGCGTACTGTGCGTGCTGCCACCGCCCGCGTTTCCACTCCCACCACCTCCACTTCGGCTGCCACTGCCTGCTTGTGGTTAACGAGTAGTGGCTCAAGTGGTTCGTGACATGAAGCATCGTCGCATCACCAGAAGCCTGTGGGCAGAATGGCAGGTGGAGGGTTCAGGCTTCTTCACTGCAGCCCCTCACGTTGCTCGATGCCTGTCGTCCCTTTCGTGTGCGTTGCGGGGTTTCAGGAGCTGCATGGCATCTAATCTAATCATTCGCTCTTCGAGTAGAGTAGATGTGGTAAGAAGACCATCATGATTGGGCTGAAAACAATCTCGATTTTACGGTCACGCCCCCACCCTCAGCTCCTCGGACAGACAGCTCCCCGACAATCTTTGCCCTCCACCAGTCATTGCCTGCAGGTACTTCCATTCCATGAGCTCTCCGAACACCCTGGGTGCATGCGAACATGGTCAGGCGTTTTGCAGTTGGTTGCAGGTGTGATTTCATTTGCTACGATTCAAATCCTTGCACATCATAAGTTGCTATGTGCTCAGTAGCAATTCGAGTGCACCACTGCTGTGCCAGTAGAATCATTCGGGGGAGGTTGCGGGGTTGTTGGGGTGCTGCGACGAGCAACGGCAAGCCAGGTGCAGGAATGCTGTCCCCACTCGCAGTGCATTCCAGCTGCAGCCTGAGACTGACGATGGGCCTTCTGGCTTTACTTGCCATGTCGCAAGTTTCATGATTGCTTTTCATCGGGTCTACCTCCTGCTCCCCCTCCCCCTCCACCGACTCAGACTCTTTGCTACGGCTACTGCTACTGCTACTGCTGCTCCTACTCCCCTCCTCCTCCGCTGACTCCGACTCCTACTCGTACCGCCACTGCTACGACCACCGCTGTTACTGTTACATCTACTGCTACCTCTTCCTTCCCCTCCGCCGACTCCTACTCCTACTCCTAACTCCTAACTCCTAACTCCTAACTCCTTACTGCTACCGCTGCCGCTCCTGCTGCTGCTGCTGCTGCTGCTGGTGCTAGTGCTATCTGCTACCGCTACGGCCTGCCGCTGCTACTACTGCTGCTAGTGCTGCAAATGCTAACACTACTACTGCTACATCTACTGCCACGACCACTGTCACTGCTACGTACTGCTGTTGCTGTGGCTACCGCTTCTGCAACTGCTACTGCTACCTCTACACTGCTGCAGTGCCACTGCTAACGCTGCGATGACGACAACCGCTACTCCTTGTGTGCTGCTGCTGCAGGTCAGCAGCAACTATACTACTACTCCAATACGGGGAAGCTACTGGGAGGGTACTTCAGTAGGGAGGGGGGACGGTGGTAGGCAAATTGTGTGCGGCTGGGGGCAGGTTGTCCCCGTGGCTTGCCGGAACCGAAACAAACTATATTTCTAAGAACGACGATTCTGGTGTCTCCAGCTGCTAGCACTTCCTACGACCACGACTGTTTTTAGTTCTGGGTCGCAGATCACATTGCACGTTCACGGGCCCGTAGGGGTCGTGGCACACTTGGCGGATGTAACTTCCAACACAAACTTGCGGACGGAGCAAAACAGCTGCAGCACCCGCAGTCACTCGCAGATGTATTTGCAGACTGTTTCATGTTGTTTCAAGACGGTGCTTTTCCTTCCCCTCAGGGCCTGGAAATGCTTAGCGGCTGTGACCAAGCACGTGGCCAGACGACCTGTGTCGCATCGAAGGACCGGTAGATGCAGTGGCTGAGGGTTTAGGGTTTAGGACATTTCTGACTGGCCCTTCAGTACGAAAAAGCGCAGAGGCCAAGTTTTCGCTGAAGCTAAAGTTCTGCTGTGCTGCCAGGTATCTGAGGCGTGGCTGCTCAAGAATGGGATTTGCAGCAGGGCGGCCCGGTCTTTGCCTTTCAGCAAGCGAGGAAGTTTCAGCATTCACACTGCCGTCCGGTAGACCGCGAGACACCTTGATCGAGTTCATGGCCTATGGTTCGCATTGCAAGATCCAGAGACAGCATTGTGCATTGTTCAAGCTCCAGATGCAAGCTTGTAACGGTCAGATTTAGGACACGGAAACTGTGGAGGTCCAGGAAAACGAACCACCACAAGTGCGACCCCGTGGGCAAGTAACAATGCTTGCCGAAAAATGCCAGCAGCAGCAACAGCAACATCAACAACAACAAGAAGGCTTAGGCTTAGGCTTGAGTGTGATCCTGGAACTCCACGCAGTCCGAAGCTTGCGCAGCTGTGACTAAGGATGCGAAACGGGCCTTTCGTGTGCGACTGGCAGATGTGCGTTACCCGGAATGCTTGCCAACTTAGAGGTGTCGGCGGTATTTTTGCCGCAGTCGACCATGGAACGCAGTCGTTCTCCTGTGTGCTGCCACCGTGGACTGCTCCAGTCGGTGTCAGTCGGATTGAATCATGGCTGCTCAAAGCAGTGCCAGAGTGCTCCGAGGTGCAACATCAAACTCCACGCTGAAGCCTCTGCCACCCATTCACCCGCACACGCTCGCGCTCTTTGAGAAGCAGCAGGCCTTGGGCATTCGTTAAAAGGAGGACAGGTGCAACAAAAGCGAAGGAGAAGGCAAGCAACGACAACGAGGGTACTACTTCGGCTACTGCTACTGCTACTTCTGCCGCAACTACCGCTGCCACTGCCACTGCCACTGCCACTACCACTGCCACCACCGCCACCGCCACCGCCACCGCCACCGCCACCGCCACCCCCACCACCGCCGCCGCTGCCGCCGCCGCCCACCACCACCACCACCACCACCGCCACCACCCCCACCACCACCACCACCACCACCACCACCCCCACCACCACCCCCACCCCCAACCCCACCCCCACCCCCACCCCCACCCCCACCCCCACCGCCGCCGCCACCGCCACCCCCACCGCCACCGCCACCGCCACCGCCACCGCCACCGCCACCGCCCCCGCCACCCCACCACCACCACCACCACCACCACCACCACCACCACCACCACCACCACCACCACCACCACCACCACCACCACCACCACCACCACCACCACCACCACCACCACCACCACCACCACCACCACCACCACCACCACCACCACCACCACCACCACCACCACCACCACCACCACCACCACCACCACCACCACCACCACCACCACCACCACCACCACCACCACCACCACCACCACCACCACTGCAACTGCTGCAACTACCCCTTCCTACTCCCGCTCGCACTCATTTCCACTACCTTGTTCGTTCACTCAACTACCGGTACCACTGCCTCTTCCACACAAATCCCACTCCTCCTGCTGCTACTGCTACTCCTACTGCTGCTGATGCTGCTGACGCTACTGCGGGGGCCGCCTGTGCGCGAGAGAGACCATTGAACGTCGCTGCAGAACACCTGGACGATTTTGATCCCATGGATCCCATGTTGTCATTGGCATTGAGCAGCAATGGTATGCTTACCAGGTGTCGTGGTACTGGAACGCCGCTGCAGTAAATCTTTCACTGGTTGTGGCAGGCCCGCAACTTTCCAGCAGGAACCAGGAACTATTGGCGATTGCGAGAGCCATTTGAATTCTCGATTTCTCAGTAGACTGTAGCCTGGAGTTGGTCATGTTCCTAGGAAGCCGAGATTCACACCTGCGCCCCGCAGACCCTCTAGACACAGCAGGAATGCTCCAAGCACAGCAGACTAGTCGGAGGTCTTTTCGCTTTCATGCTCGTCGCTGGTCTGAGCCTGCGGACACGGCCTCGGTTTTTGTTAAGTTGGCAAGGCATGGGCATTTTCCAGCTGGCTGCTGCGGCTCTGGCGGGATGTTAGGGTGGAGCCCGCCAGGATCCTTCAAAGATTGACTGACAAACAAGATATCCTTCGACTTCATTTCATTCACGACCCGACGAGAACCCTCGCTATTGATCAAGGTGGACACTTTGCGCCGTTTTGCGCGCTGAGGACACGATGCAATGACAACGTACAGCTTCGTAGCGATCCAATGAGTAACTCAGAAGAAAGGAAACTTTCTCTCTACTTCTTGCGTCTCCTTCGACGTCAAGGCCCTGCAGGTTTGAGAGGCATGTACCATAATTGCCGTTCTTCTACTGGTGGTGGCAGTCGTGGTGGTGGAGGTGGTGGTGGTGGTGGTGGTAGTGATCGTGGTCGTCGTAGTAGTAGATATCGTGGTAGTCGTCGTTGTACTTGTAGTTGTACTGCAGGTTACATCTAGTTACTAGTTGTCGTAGCAGTAGCAGTAGCAGCAGCAGCAGCAGCAGTAGCGGCAGTCGTAGCAGAAGTAATAATAAGAATGTGTGGGTTTGACTAATCCCCCCTCCCCTCCCCCCCGGCCATGATCGGGAATAAGCGCGGACCGTGACCGGCCAAACGCTTGTTGGAATAATAATAGGAGAGAGGATTCCCCCCACAAGCAAGGAAAGCTACAAAAGGCTCATTGCTTGTACTCAACTTAGAAGAGGCGTGCCATGCCCAAAAAAGGGCCGCCCGAAATACTTACTTTATTATTACGACCCCATTTAATTGTTTGTAAAAACTTTAATGTGTCATTGCCGAAAGATGCATGTTTCTGCTTCCGATTGAAATCATCTGAAGCTGTTCTGTCCTCATGTGGGAGAAGGCCCTTGTAGCGCTGGCGGTGTTGCTTAACAAGGGGCTCGAGCCATCACGCGGCGTGTGGCCGGTTCCGGTTCAGTGCAGTTCGTGTGAGTGTCACTGCTTCGTTGAGAAAGAGCCTGTGAAAGCGGAGAATCCTGAATCGGTCCAACTGGGTTGGCGAATCCTGATTTCTGGAGCTCTGGGAAGCAACTGCCTAGTGGCCTCGTTGGCTTTCTTCTGTGGCAGGGGAGGGCGACCGGAAGCACAGGGGCCATCAGGGGCTGAGTCATTGAGCCCACGCCTCCTTGAGGATGAGCCGGGCCGGCTTCTTCGGGTCTGGTACTCCGACGACGACGTCTGGCATGAGCGCTTGGTGCTTTTGCCGGGGCGACGGGCTGACGTCTTCTGGATAGTGACGCCTGACATAGACATCTATGAGGAGAACCTTGCCGGGAATGCTTCAGGTGGCCCGGAGAAAGTGCGGGAGTTGGCGCATGGAGCGAGGACCCGGTACAGCAGGCCCGTCTACAAGTTTCGGGCGGCTTGGCGGGAACATTCGGATGTGTGCGGCATGCCCCCTGAGATCAAGGGGCTCTCGGTTGACTTGCCTGAAGGAAGCGAACAGCCATTGGAACGTTTGCTGGGTGGACCTTCCACGCCCCGTAGGCGCCTGACTGGGAAAGGGCATCGAGACCGCGGTGCCCAAGCCGCCTTTGGCGACATTGGGCCAGGCGTGGCGGTGTGCAGAGCCTAGAGGGGTGCGAATAGGAGACCGGCTCATCCCCAGCGGAAGTGGTGATATCCGTCTCGGGGCCAGTGATGCTGCTTTCTTCTGCGAGGGGCGGTGGATTCGCGGCGAGTTGGTCGACGACGCCCTCCTGATGACTGGCTGGTGGCCAGGCGAGCAGAGCCAGGCCAGGTGGAGCAATCCGGTCTTGCTGGTGGAGCCTTGGATCTGCCAAGTGAGGAGGAGACTCCCAACAAGGATAAGGAGGGTGGACGAGATTTGCGCATCCTCCCGGTGATCTTTGATAGCTGATAGCGCTGAAGAACGCTGGCGAACCCTGGCGGAGGCAGTGCCCGAGTACGAGGAGGTAGAGTTCGACGATTTCCTGCTCCAACGACCTAGGACTTTGTACTGGGATGTGCGCCAGCTTAGGCGGTTAGGGATGGACTTTGTTCAACACCATGAAGGCTGGATCAAGAAATCGGGGGTGAGACTGACGGACCGCTCGGTGCACGAGCGCTCGTCCCTGTGCAGAGTCCTGAGCTACATGGCTAATTACGTACGACCAGCTGAACATTGTCTCCCTCGCCTTTGCTGAGCCGTTGAACCGCCGCCGGGCGCTCATCGAGGTCGCTCATCAAGGACGTCCAGATGCCCCGTCGTACGAGAGTGTTGAGGACATAATGGGAGTAAGGGACACGTCGGACGGGTCCATGGTGGACCCAGCCCTTACACATCATGCAGCACGACGGCAAGCCGCCAAAGCCGAGATCCTCAAGCAGACACGGCTAGCTGCTGAGGAGCGGCGCTACGCTACCCGTCCGATGTTTAGGCTCAGGCGTCTGCTCACGAACCCGTCGACGGCACTTGCAACTATGTGGCTTCGCAGGTGGTCGCTTCCTGTCTGAACGTGCACAGACCTACACCTCGGCTTTTGGAGCAGCTCTGATGCAGCACTTGATGTTGCCCTGCCATCCCGCCCCACGGCCATACTGTTGATGGGTGTGGAGCCCGCCTCTGAGTACATACGGACACGCACGAGCGCGCACAAAAAGTTCGTGCGAGATCCGGATGTGTGCACTAGGTGGCATCTGAAGGCATGTGAAAACTTTAGTGTGTCATTGCCGAAAGATGCATGTTTCTGCATCTGTTCTGTGCTCTCTCCCGCTCCACCCGGAGTTGAGATATCGACGACTTTCGATTCTCGAAGTCTGCACCTGTTGATTGCGGCTCGGGCGGAAAGCCCTCGCCTCTGAGTACACACGGACGCGCAGGAGCGCGCACAAACAGTTCGTGCGAGATCCGGATGTGTGCATTAGGTGGCATCTGAATACATAAACATCCGGATCCCCGACGCAGGCTCGTAGTCTTCCTCGAAGGCGATCGGCAGAATCGGCCCGAATGAATATTTTATGAATCCGACCCGATTTATTTATCAAAGGTGAACATCAACGGTAGTGGTCGTGGTAGTGGTCGTAGTAGTCGCAGCACCAACACCAGCACTAGTAGTAGCAGCACCAGCAGCAGTAGTAGTAGTAGCAGCAGCAGTAGTAGTAGTAGTAGTAGTAGTAGTAGCCGTGGCCGTAGCCGTAGCCGTAGCGGTAGCGGTAGCGGTAGCGGTAGCAGTAGCAGTACCAGTACCAGTACCAGTACCACTACCAGTACCAATACGAGTACCAGTACAGTACCAGTACCAGTACCAGTACCAGTACCAGTACCAGTACCAGTACCAGTGCCAGTGCCAGTGCCAGTGCCAGTGCCAGTAGTAGCAGAAAAAAACAGCAGTAGAAATCGCAGCAGCAACAGCTGTAGCTGCAGTTGCTGTAGCTGAAGCTGCAGAAAGCAGATTTCAGAGGTAGAAGAAGAGTGCGAACGGACTGCGATGCCTTGTCATGTTCTAAGGTGTCACTATAAGAGCTGTGAGCAAGACCGTGTAAAGTGCAAGAGAAGGGGGCACGCTACGCGTCCCTCGACTCTAGGGGGCATGCTACGCATCCCTCATCTTTACCTTTCTATGTGACCGCCAACGCAACGTTTGGCTCAAGTCAATGCCCATAGCTAAGTGCTATATGTGTCTTCTATCCTGAGCAATCAGAGCTACCCGTTGCACAGACGAACCGCCGCCGGCAGTGAGTGCAAAAGGAACGGCCGCCGGTTCTGCCTGCATAGGATCGCACGTGTGGAAGTAAGAGGGAGAGACAGGGTCCAGTCTGTGGAGAGTGCTAGCCAGCCACACCTACATTCATTACAGCTCTGGTGGGGAGAGCAGCAACCAAGTCGAGATCAATCCCCCACGCAGGTTATCAGCCGTACGCGGCTCTGCCTTTCTACAGCAACGACTACTTGATCTACTACGACCACAATGAACTCAGGATCAAGCCAAGATACGACAATGACTTTCGGTGCCGATGTGGCAGCGCCAGCCGTTGGTGAGTCAACAGCTGATGACACAGTGGTGCAATCCGTTGATAGCTCCACGGAAGATGACAAAGGTCAATCTTCTGCGCTTGCCATTGCAAAGGCAGTTCCCAAGGGGAAAGCAAAGAGTCTACCAAGAGCATCTACGCCTTCACGTCCGACATCCACAGGTTCGAGGACGGGCAAGGCTTCAGAACGACGGGCCGAAGCGTCTGGTTTTCAGGCACCTCGGACTACGTCCAGGGCAAAGGACAAAGGAGTCAAGACCTTGGAAAAGAAGTCAAGACCATCATCTTCGAGAAGCTCTTCAGCACGATCGAGGACTTCGGCTACTCGTGGGCGTGACAAGTCCATGACTTGGAATCGGATGGTTACCAATCAACCACGCGATACTGACGATCTGGACATGACTCTGGATACGATTCCTGCACGTGGTGATGCGTCATCCGTGGCCACGCCTGCAATAGCTGACGGTCCGAATGCCTACCAGGAACTGACGATTTCGCAACAGTTCGAAGCATCGAACCTTGCACAGCAGATGTACTATCGCAGTCAGGTGCAAGAATACGAAGGAATCGTCCAGACCCTGATGGACAAGATCAAGGAGATGCAACAAGAAGATGAAGGATCTGGAATTCGCATTGAGGAATTGGAACGACAACGTGATCATGCATGCTTAGCCATGAGGCACATCAACAATGTCAATCAGGAGATGAAGCGAGACTATGAAACAGCTTTGTTTCGCATGGATGAGCAGAACTCTGCTCAACAACGTCAAGCACATGCCGTTGCCGAGGATTTAGCTCAACAGCTACACGTGTTTCGCACGGAGGCAGCCACCAACTTTGTGCAGTTGGAGGCAAGAGCGCAAGGTGATGGTGAGCTTATGGCACGTGAGTATGAGCGTCTGACTCATGAACTTCATGAACACGCCAGAGAGAACTTGGTCCTCCGGTCAAACACAGCAAGTTCGGAACAAGCCTTACAAGCAATGCAGGAACGATTCCACTTGGTCAAGAACCAGGAGTTGCGGGCTGTGAACGAGATCCAAGGGCTAGCTGGAAACAGCGCAGCCATTGAACAAGAACGATTTCGGCTTCGCGAACGTCTTGGTGAAGAGGAAGAGTACCGCAAAATGGCTGTGAAGAGGATGCAAGAAGCAGAGGAACGACTTCATCAGAATGAAGATCATGCAAGGCGATCATTGCCTACCTTGCACGACGAGCTGAGTGAACTCAGGAAAACGCTCAAAGCACAAGAAGATCTTCAAGCGAGGACACGCAGCGAATTGGAGGCAGCGCGAAACTCCAATCAAGGAGGAGCGACGCGACCTTCGAGCATGCCCATGTCTTCGAGGACTACTGAGTCTGGCTGGGAGCACGTAGGAAAGGAAGTAATGCCTGCATTTTCCGTAGGAGATGAGGTACGATCCCCTGAAATACGGTCCCCAAGTCAAGTTAGTCCAGTCGCCAAAGAGAAGTTCGCATTCTCGGAATCGGACAAGGACAAGAACCTTGTGATGGACGGAATTCCATTCACCGGTGGAAACTTCTTCACTGGCCGCAGTTCGATGCCAATCGTGGCGGATGCAATGCCCGAGCACCACGTGCCAGGTATTAGCAGCCCAGCACTTGCGCGTTCCACGCCTAGTGCAGCCACTTTGTTTGGCATACCAAGCGGATTTCATGGGAAAAGTGATGCGGCAGCCGTGCGTGATCGACAGCTACGCGAACTCTTGGGGGATCGCGGGATGTTGGGATCGAAGTCCACAGCATCGGCCAGCTCCTCAAGACCTGTTGGCATCGACGGTGTCACCGCATCTACTAAGGGCAACGACCTCGTTGGTCCCCCCATTGCCTATGACGATTCCATTCATGAAGCAAGAAGACGTCAGATCGAGAAAGAAATCGCGGAACAGTACGAGGAGAAGATTGCTGATCTGCGAAGTGAAGTACTCAAGGCTCAGAAAGCCGAACAACGTCTCAGAGCTGATCGTGATGAGTGGAGATTATTCGCTGAAACGATTCAGGAAAACAATGGAGACGATGACGGTGATGAAGCTGGCGACGAGAACGGAGAGGACGAGCATGATGAAGGTACCGGCACGGGGTATGATCCTCCAGATCCGCCTGATGATGATGATGACAAGAAGAAAGGCGGAGGGGGCAAACCTGAATCGGATCCTGGCTCACATGCGCGTGATCCTGATGGAGACGCGGATCCTGAAGTCACAGAGGTGAGAATTTCCAGGAGGGAAGCCGACAAAGTGACCGTTCCTCCATGGCCTACTCTCACTCATCTCAACAACTGGCGATCCGTGTGCACGGCCAATGTCTTAGGGGCATCAGCCGACCCACATCATGAGGACTGGATGTTATGGCTGGCACCAGCGTTCAACCCATTCCCTGATGTCGAAGCATTGAATGATTCAGGACACAAGAAGTTCAAGAGCATAGACGTCAAATTGGGGATCGCCATGGTCGCAATGCTACGTGCCGGTGGTGACAAATCAGCTGACCTGTACCTCGAGGTGAACCGGAAGGCCAACGATTACATCAGCAGGCCTGACGTGAAGATCATCAAAGGACGACAAGTCATCGCGATGATGT